ACCACGTACTGCTCACTTCTGCGCGGAATTATTAACTCTCGCAATCTTACACCCGGCTGCAAGATTCGCAGTTGGACACTGTGAACTCTTTGACGAGCGGTCCTAGGATGCACCATTGGCGGGGTGCACCCGAATTTTAAAATGTCCTAAGGGGAGAACACCCCTGAAATAATCAAACAAACCATGAACAGTAAGAATAAGGAGAAAAAACTTACCGCCTCAGGGACTTCGGATACCCAGAGGCCGGCGCGGGGGGAGTGCGGTCCCAGCGACCCCCGTGTCGATGGGCTTGGCCCTAAAAAGCCAAGTCCAGAATCCTGCGATGGGCTAAATAAAAACATAGAAATAGCACTGCGTCCTGATTGGACAGGCGCAGTAACTGATAAAGAGGCTACTAAGGAGGTGGATATGGAGGATGTCTACGATCGAGGAGTGGACCTTGCGAGGAAAATCATCGCGGATATCGATAGGAAGTCACCTGAAGATCCACAAATTCCTGATGATGTGAGGGCTGATCCTACGTTCGTCCCTCCTGGGGTGTCTGACTCTGAGGAGTCGACACACCGGGATGAACGCGCAGTCGGAGATGTTATAATGATAGAGGACGAAGACGACGACGAGGATGCACCTCCTCTACCTACCTCTAGTAGGGAAAAGAGGAAGGAACGTTTCTCGCCGAACTCTCCGGACAACACGACAAAACCTTTTAAAAGAAGATACACGACTTCGGAGAACGAAGTGTATACTCCTGTTCTGACACCAGCGAAACATAAACTGACTATTCACCCGGTGACTGCCACCAACTTACGTACCTATAATACTGAGCAATTGACAAAGTGCGCCACCGAATGCCTAGAGAAAATGGAAACTATTCGTACGAGCAGTAAAAACATCAAAGGCAACTTTTCGGGCTACCTCAGAGATGGTATAGCAAATATCTCCGAGATAATAGATATTTATCGTGAACGGCTTGGTGCTACTGGCGACATTGCAGATTTGGAACTACAAAATAAAAACCTCACGACTCAACTGCGCAAAATCACGCGCGAGCAGGAGCTTCAAAAGAAGGAGCACTCTATACTTCGTAAGGAGAATGAAGATCTTCGTAGGGACGTTGAGATGCTCCGCGAGGAGATCAGAAGTATGAGGGATGCTACAAATCACGCAGGATCCTCCTCAAAAGCACCTTCTGAGAACAGTCTTGCTCAGGGAGCTGATACTCGCAAAACTGACATTAGGGAGGCAGCAAAGCGCCCGGAAGACTATCCCCCTCTCCCTCAGAGGAAACACAAGGTTATTTCCTCTAAAATACTGCGGGACAAAACTATTAAAATCCGGAAACACCCTACAAGTGCCTCTGGATCCGAGACTGATATGATTGAAGTTCCTACCTTGAGGAAGAGGTCTCCTCCTGGAAAGAATAAAAAATCTGATAGGGAGACTTTTTCCGCGCAGACCCCTACTCGCATTTTACATTCAGAGGAAGACACTGATCCTAACTACATGCTCGAATGCATGAATAAACAGATTGCGCAACTAGTTACTAATATGGAAGAACTGCGCTCCAAATTTGGCTCAAAATCAGAAGAATTCTCGAGTAACTACAAGAAGAAAAGAATTAAAAGAACATCCTTCAAAAACGATACCACTGAGACTTTTGGTATCTCCGACGGGGAGGCTTTAGGCCCGCAGATCTCTGCACCGCCTACCGTAGATGTCGTACAAAACGAGGCAACTGTCCGGAGCGATGGACCCCGACGAGGGGTCGTCGGTGGTGGCTCTCGTTCGAGTATCCGCCCGCGCAGACCACCAAAAACTGCTGCGGTCTCGATTACCAGTCTGAAAGTGGATGTCAGCTATGCTGATATCTTGAAGAAGGCGCGGGAGAGTATAAAGCTGGACACTCTCGACATCGAAACTTCGAAGATTAGGCGCGGTATCAACGGCGGGGTTATTATTGAGATTCCCGGCGCGGATGGTACCTCCAAGGCCGATACGCTAGTAGGAAAGCTTAAAGAAGTCTTAGACAACAATAACATACGTATTACTCGCCCAACTACAATGGGCGAGCTACGTATCTGGAATTTCGACAACTCTATCTCCCCGACTGAGATTCTTAATGAAATTTCAGTAGTCGGAGATTGCGATGAATACTTCGTTAAAATCGGTAGTAAACGTAAAATGAACAACGGGCTTAATTCTGTATGGGTCAAGTGCCCCCTATCCGCGGCAATTAAAATCACAAATAAGCTCAAGATAGGATGGACCATTGCTCGGGTCGAGCTACTTGAGACAAGACCCGTCCAATGCTATAAATGTTGGCGTTTCGGACATGTCCGCACTACATGCAGTTTCCCCGAGGACCGGACTGGCGCCTGCTTCAGGTGTGGTGAGCGCGGTCACCAGATCGGGGCTTGCAGAGAAGACCCTTGTTGCGTCGTCTGTAGAGATGCCGGAAGACCCAGCGATCATCGGCTGGGGTCGCTTAATGTTTGCGCGAGCGTGGAACCTACACGTGGGAGACGTAGGGACCTTATGACCAATGGTCGGGCAGCGACACAGAAATGTCTCTGTGTCTCCAATTAAACCTCAATGGAAACAAGGAGGCTCAGAACCTCCTTGTTCATCACTCGAGGGAAATGGGGGCCGCCGTTTGCGCGATTTCAGAACCTGCCCGAACACACAGTCCATATCAACTGTGGTTCCATAGCCACGACCATCTCGCGGCCATTTTTATTAATAACAGGGTCGCGACACACCCTGCCACATTAGAGGCCCGCGGCAGACACTGTGTCCTGGTAAGATTGGGAGAGATTTATATTCTCTCATGTTATATCTCTCCCAATGTCGATCTCCCGACATTTTCGGATTTCTTGGAGGAGCTCTCCACCATTTGCTCCTGTGTGGCACGCAACAATAGGCTGATCATTTGCGGAGATTTTAATGCCCACTCTCTTTCCTGGGGATCGAATGTCTCTAATGTTAGGGGCGAGGCACTCGAGGAATTGGCGTCACAGCTCGACTGGAGACTGGTAAACCAGGGAAACCACCCTACTTTCTCGAGCCACCAAGGGACTTTGATAGTAGATCTTACCTGGACTTCCTCTGATCTATTCGGCAGAATCCGTAATTGGTCGGTCCGTGGCGACATGGAATCCATGTCTGACCATTTTTACATCTCTTTCGAAATTTTGGATTCATCGACCCGGCGTACATCACCACCGCTGCCCCGCCGATGGAATTTTAGGAAAATGGACATTGAACTCTTCCAGGAAGCCATTGAATGGAGATGCGCAGTGACTCCTGGTGATCCGGAATACCTGATCGGGGTGGGTCCAGATCGATGGATACACAACTGCATTTATGATGCGTGTCAGGCGGCGGTCCCTCGCCTGCGCGCAGCTAGGTCAGGCAGGGCTTACTGGTGGAATGACCAGATAGCGCAACTAAGAACTGCGGCTATCGTTGCGAGAAGAGCCTAAACTCGTGGCAGGAGTAGGGATTTGCCGGAGGTGCTAGAAGCCAAAAGGATCGCGTACATTGCTGCTACCCAAAATCTGAAGCACGAAATACAGAATGCCAAGTCTGCCGCGTGGCAAGAACTGATCGATACCCTGAAGGAGGATCCATGGGGCCTTCCCTATAAGCTGGTCTTGGGTAAACTTCGGAAATTCACTCCGTGGCTCAGCACCACCCTCGAGCCGGAAATATTGAATCGCTTATTAGACGATCTGTTCCTGCCTGGTCGGGAACTGTCCCGTGTGGACTTAGGCGATTGTGAGGAGGGGAAAACTCTCATTACCTCAGATGAAGTGAACGAGGCGATCGCGGTTAAAAAATCCAGTAATACGGCACCCGGTCCTGACGGCTTCAAAGCGACCGTCCTGAAAAAGTTACCGCCCACTATGGTGCATCGACTAACGGCTAACTTCAACATTTGTATGCAAACCGGGGTCTTTCCATCTAAATGGAAGCTGGCGGATCTCGTCCTGATCCCCAAGGGAGATACTCCACCACTCGGCAAGGTGCCTAAGGCAAAACCGATTTGCCTCCTTAATGAAACCGGGAAGGTCTTTGAGCGTATCATTGCCAACCGTTTGGCCACTTATCTTGATCAAATTCCTAGATATGATCTTTCGGCGAACCAGTTCGGGTTTCGTAAGATGCGCTCGACGACTGACGCTCTCTTCTTGGTTAAAAACATAATTACTGAGGCCCGCGCTAATGGCAGAGTGCTGGCTGTTTCACTGGATATAAAGAATGCGTTTAACTCTATTAAGCACTCCAGAATCAGAGCTGCTCTCAGGAACAAGCGTGTTCCGCGGTACTTGAGACGCATTGTAGAGGATTATCTAAGAAACAGAGTCATTAGATATGTTTCATCTGACGGCACCCGTCGCACTAGGCGTGTTAACAGAGGGGTCCCGCAGGGATCGGTGCTAGGTCCGCCACTTTGGAACTTTGGCTTTGACCAGATACTACGTATCTTGCTTCCCGGCGACTCTCACGTGGTGTGTTATGCCGACGACACATTACTCCTTGTCGCTGAGGATGATTTCGATTCTGCTTGTGCTCTCGCGTCTGAATGCCTGGATAGTCTGATGATTAACATCCGAGACCTCGGCCTGTCGGTGTCCTGGCCTAAGACGGAGGCCGTATTCTTTGGGCACTGTCCCCGAAACTCGAACTTCGTTTATGAGGGACAAAACATCAAGATATCTAGTAATATGAAGTACCTTGGTGTTTATATTGATAAGAGATGGGCATTCAACATCCACGTCAACTATGTCGCTGCAAAGATATCCAAGGTAAATTGAGCCCTATGCGCAATTCTTCCAAACTTAAGAGGGCCTATTGAGAACAAGCGCCGACTATACTACTCTGTGGCAACCTCCATTGCACTTTATGCCGCCCCCATTTGGAGTGAGGAATTTATGGCCTCTGAAAACAAACAGAGACAGATGCGCCGCGCGCTCCGACTCTCTGCACTAAGAACCATTATGGCGTACCATACCGTTTCGTACGAGGCGGCTACTCTCCTGGCTCGCGTTCCGCCTCTACACCTCTATGCGGAATTTCTAAGACGGTCATATTTCCGGCATCGTAGAATGAAGGAGAATGGCAATTATAACGAGGTATTGGCTGCCGCTGTACGTTTGGAGGAATGGAACGCACTACGAGAGCAATGGCGTATCCACGTTACGCGTGCAAATCTTCCGGGAAGAAGAACGAGAGAGGCGATTGGCCCCAGTTTTGAGGACTGGTTAGATCGTAGTTCTGGTTTTCTCACGTATAGACTAACTCAGTTTTTAACCGGCCATGGGTGTTTCGGCACCTACCTGTATAGGATTAATAAAGAGGATACTCCAATATGCCGATATTGTAACACGGAAGAAGATACCCCGGAGCACACCTTAAAGGTGTGTCATTTCTGGGCCCAGGAGCGCGGTGAACTTGCTGCTGCAATTGGTCAGAACCTCTCCCTGGGGAATATTGTTGCTAGGATCTGCAACTCCAAGGAACGCTGGAACGCGTTCTCGACTTTTGCTGAGCGCGTTTTTCAACGCAAGGAAGAGGATGAGCGTAGGAGACAGCAGCAGATGATCCTTGATCCGGGATAATTGCGTTTTCTGCGATGCTATTGCGGCGTTTTGTACTGCGTGCGGTTTTTTCTTGATGCGTTTTATTTTGCGTGCGGACGGGGTCTTCTTGCCGTTCCTGGGTTGCCCGGGCGCGGGCCGGTTCTGGCTCTCCTCTTCCTGGGGTCCGGTGCGTCGCTTCGGCGACGTTCCCGGATCCCTGGGGGGCGGTTGGCTGGGGGCGTTCGGCGTGCGGGTTTCCCTTTGGGCGGTTGGATGGCCCCGTAATAGAAACTTAGATTTAGATTTATATCTATTTATTGCGTTTTACATATTTTAACTTCTTCTCCTGGGGGCTCCGCTGCGCGGGGTTGGGGGCTCCCTGGGGGTCGGTCGCCCGTGGTCTCGCCGCTCACCGCTGTGCTTGCGGGGCTCCGGCCCCACTGCTCCGCAGTGGGCTTGCCGGAGGTTCCGTTGTGGCTGCGGGGTGCGGGTGGTCGTCTTTCTGGGTTTCCTCGGCCTGCGGCGGGGTTCTCGGGATCTTTTTCCTTTCGCGCTTTTCCCTCCCCTTTTCCCCCCTTCCGGAGGGCCTGGGGGTGGGACGGGCGTGATCGTTAATACAGCCGCTAAAACGGCCCGTAATGCGGACTTTGAGTCCGACTGTTTTTCTTGGTGGTGGGTATATGTTTAACCCTCAATGTTAACGAGCTCAGCTCGTGGCTTTTGATTTGTGTGGAACTTCTCTCCGGGTAGAGGGGTTCCTGTTCGTCTGTTACGTGCATGTCCTATGGCCCTGTGCGTTCTTCCTTGGAACGTCCGTGATTCCCTATGGAATGGCCACGCAGCCAATGAAGAGCGTCCCTCAATGATATGACTGCCCGCGGTTACTATCATGAGGGCCTCCGAGGCGGTCGAACGTTGGTACTTGTGCCAAACTTTCGACTAGTAAGTCATCCCGGCGGGTTCTGCGACGTCTCTGTTTGATCCATCGCGTGATTTCGTCTTCGGTTTACGTATTTCTGTCGCCTCTGCGTGAGGACTGTTGTGGCACGTGATATAATACCTCGAGTCTCCCGCGTGTTGCAACTGTTGTCCAGCGTGCTATGTGTTTGGGAGAGGTTTTTTAGTGGGTGCAAGCCCCACATATCCCGGGGGACGGCCCTCGGTAGAATGCTCGAGGCATTTTTCCTCTTCCTCCAAAACAACAAAAAAGGAGTATCGAATTTTGCGGGGTGAGGGGGAGGGGGGGTATCGGGTTACACAAGGGTATCGGATTTCGCGGGGGTAAGGGGGAAGGGGGGGGTATCGGGTTACACAAGGGTATCGGATTTTGCGGGGGTGAGGGGGAGGGGTGTATCAAGTTACACAGGGGTATCGGATTACGAGGGGAAAGGGGAGGGGGAAGGGTGATCTTGGCATACTACCGGGATGACTCACCTGGATGATTCACCGGGATGACTCACCCGTGCCGCTGGTCCGCGCCGTTGGTCCGCGCGGGGGAGGGGGTCCGCGTTCGCGTTCGCGGTCGCGTCGCGGGTCCGCGTAGGGATCCGCGGGGGTCCGCAGGGGCCGCGTGGAAGTCCGCGGTTGCGCCGCGGGGTCCGTCGGGTTGCAGGGGCCTTGTTCGCAACGACGCCGCTAGGCGGCGTACAATGGGTAAGACTAACTCGATAGCGCACTGCGTAGTTTGTTGATGCAAAATTCTCCAAGGTCTTGCAACATTCTTCGGGAATCATTGTCTTGTTCCATTGCTACTCCACGTGCGTGGAGTACTACGTTTAGTAAGCGTCTCACCATAAACTTATACTCCTTAGTAGTAGACGTTTTTATCTCTACAAACTCGCTACGCGGTTCGCGTAGGCAATCAGCGTCTCGTCCATGAGGGGAAATCGGCCCCTCGTCAGGCGGAACAGGTCCTCCCGCGCGCGGCCGGGCGCGGATATCGTGCCCCCAAACGGAAGCCGGGGCGCGGGAGGAGCGCCTTCAAACACCTCTATAGCGTCTTTAAAATGGGAAGCGTCGGGCCCCCCTAAAATTTCACTGTCTTCTATGTCTTTAGGCACAAAAGGTTTGCGCGGAGACATTACAAAAAACTTAGTTTAATCACCCGAACACAACAAAAACACGTTTGTACACAAGAAACTTATAAAAAATATATACGTGTAACACTTTGCGCAGACTCGACGAGACTGAATTCAATGACGGTTGCAGAAGTCGCCAGAGAAAAAAATATAATGGCGGTGTATAAAACTGATAGTCGCGATACGTCTTGCATTACACCTGCGAGCGCCGATGTCCGCCAGAACATCGGTGCCTCGCTTCTATGTTATGATATGCGATATTTGATTGCAAATTCAAGCAGCCGGAGTTTTGGCAGACGTCGCATATACGGCTCGAATAGAAATGCGCGCGAAGAAAATATAGTATGATTTATACTTAAAAAACAATCTATCTACGCATACGTTAAAGACAAAGGAAGAAATGACGTCATCGGGACAATGATCGACCCGATAACGCATCGAACCTGTTGGAACATGTTCGTTGTAAACAACATTTTCGAGAAAAAGGGGAGTGTTATCGCGTAGACTAAACAATTTCACGCTATTTTTTACGACGCAGTACGCGAAACAAAGGAAAAGATCTTTCAAAAAATCAGTTGGAGCGAGAGAGAAAGCAAAGGGTATATAACGAGGGATGAAGCGCATCGAGCCGCAGTAGTCAGATTTGAGAGTGATACATCGATCGAAAAGTAACGCGGTTTCTTCGTTATTGTATGGTTGAACATTATCACGTGCAAGTGCTCTGGAAAAGAGATTCTTTTATTGCTTAATCGCAAAAATGTTCGTCCTGCTGTCGAGATTTTCGGACATTCGCGATTTTAGCGCCGAACAGCTGCAATTTGTGCCGAAAACTGTTCTGTTGCAAATGTGCGGCGATCACATTTACTACGTGTGGGACAAGCTTCCGGAGCATATAAAGACGGATTCGGAGGTTCAGACCTATCGTCGCTGTGACGACATTACAACCAACCGTGGCAGCGAACGCACATCGACGGTCCCGCTCCAATGATTAAGGATTGCGGCGAATGTCAACGAAACAAACATTAGCTTTCGCGACGTGAACATTTTTTTATTTTTTCATAACAGTGAGCAAAAAGAAATGACGCTTGACAATAATCGCTCGTGGTTACCGGACTATGAAAGTGATGAAAGCGATGACTTTTCATACTATTGCGATCGTTTTTACTATGGTGACCATTTAATAGATGATATCGCCAATGCTTTGCGTGATGAAGATCAAAGACGAAAATCGACGGATGTGCAACGAATATCACTGGTGCAGTTTGTTCGCGATCGCAAACTCGGGATACGCGGAACCGATAAACGCATCGTTAGACAAGAAGTTGTTATCAATACCGATAAGTATTCTTATGACTGGAAGTCTAACATAAGACGGAAAATATACATACAAGTGCGGAACAAGGTAAAAGAATATGAAGCTCGTCTAGTTCGTGATGATCCTTTTTACATTAAACTGTTTAAACATGACTTTAAGTCGCAGTATGAGGAGTATCGCTATTGGGCGACTACAGTTATTCGTGAGATAGAAAGACACTTACAATTAGTCGATCTGCTAGTTCAAATTCACACAGGTGTCATATCTGACGGTATAATCACCGCTATATTCTACCCGCATAAATTTTTCGATTTTCTACCTTCATTGCTAGAAGTCCCCAGCATCTGAAAACAACATTATAATATAACAATCATTCTTTAAAATAACTGTCACAACAATCACTCAGCTGATGCGAACACGCGTTCTTAAAGTAGTAGACATAAGCCTAGAGAACATGGCTGCCTAAAGGTACCCTTTCAAGCTTAAGCCCCATTTGCATGAATCACACTATAAACTTTTGGACAATTGCTTGTTAAAATTCCCCAGAGTCACTAAAATTGATCGTAAATGAATATTACAAACTTTATGAGATCTTTTATGCAATACAAATTCAATTCAACACACGAATAAATACATGTTCCATAAGAATAAACTCAGAAAATTAAAATAAAATATAAATGAATTAATTAAAAATAGATTATTCATAAGAACATAACCTTTTATGCCTGAGAAACATTATCACGCTAAAATAGTAATTATCTCATTAGCATTTTTTCAAACATGATTGTTATAAACAATTAAATTATATTATTAACAGACCTAGTTAGTGTGATTACTAGAACTATCACAAAAAGTCAAATAACTTTTGATTATAAACCATTATTGTATCTCTCAAAATAAACTAATTAACAATAAAATTTATCATAAAAATATTATTAAAGATGATAAATAAAATCACTACAGATACCCAGCAGAGCATGTCAAGTAACCTAACAAAAACCCCCACATTATATCTCTTCTTAATTCCAAGATATAATTAAAAATTATGGAAATCCATAAAACACAGAAATTTGAAACAACCTAAAATAATGCCTTTAATTATCTGAACACAACAAAAGAAACCCCATCTTTTTATCTCTTACCGTTCTCGAGTTATAAATTATTAAAGTTTTACATCCGCCATTTTGAATTTTCTACCCTTTAGACTTACAAAGACCAAATCACTTTTACATTAATATTTTAGTCTTTTATACATTTTAAAGCTGAAAAATTTCATTTTTGAACAAAAATTTTGACCGTTAATTATTATGATAAAAATAGAATCTCTCATACTCCTAAACACCAGTAACGTTAACGCCGATTTTCTATTTAAATTAATTAAATTAATAAACGAGATTGAAAATTGAACATTCACTCCATGAAAGACGAGGATAGTTTAATACCAATTCACAGAGAGTAAGACAAGGATAGCCTTATAAACTCTTAATAAATTAAAATAAAAATGAAAACAAATAGACGGAGATAAAACAATTATAGAAATACATGCTCCTATATTTATGGAAAAACACCACATTGAAATAACTATTATCTTATTAATATTTTTCAAAACAATTGTTATAAACAATTAAAATTATATCAATACCATT